GAGATGTTCTTTAAAAAAAAGAAAAAAAAAAAAAAAAGAATAAATTAGTGGCAAATTTAAAATGTGAAAAGTATAGCTGTTTGTGACTATCTGAATTTGAATGAATGAATAAGCAAATTTTCTTTCCAAAGTGCAAAACTAATTGGGACTGTAGGCTTTAATATTCAGCCTTTAAAGAAAAGACAACATGGGAACTGAGTAAGCAAGCTTTCAGATATTGGTGGTGGTAGAATTCAAGACAAGAGCAACTACACCATAGAGTCTCAGATGAAGATCCTTTCTGGAAATTCTGTCCCCATATGTCTCATTCAAAACCAGTTTCAGCTAGAAACTAGGTATCTCCCACTCCCAGACTAACTCACTGAGAAACTTTAGACCTGATTTCTAAGCCTCAGTATAACCACACTTACGCTGCTGTTGTATTTATGTGAACCTCTCTTGAGAAAGACTGAGGATCAACCTTTCTTGTAGAAATGATGAATTTTGGGTGCTCAGTACAGTCTTGAACCACCACCAGGTTGCAGCTTTTATTGAAAGAGTATGAATGGCTCACACGATCAAATGTTTTGAAGTCTCTCTCCCTGATTTCACACGTGGCTGCAAAACAAAACCATAAAAGAAGAGGCAGATATGACCACTGTATGTGTTGCTGTGAAGTACTGAAAGACACCTCTATGAGATTGAACTACCCAGCAAACAGGAAGAAAACTTCATCTCTTTGGCAGAAGCCAGAGTCTGTAAGGACATGAGAACACTACAAAATAACTACCTGCTCTAGACTATACTAGTATTGATTTTGATTGCATGCCAAACACAAAATTCAAACTAGCAGGGTCTAAAATGTACAATATTCTTGAGAAACAGGTTGCCATAACAAACTGTGATAAAAACTCCCCACTTCCCACAGGAATGCTAGGCACCAACTAGTTTGTGGTCCTTTTTTTGAATAAAATAAACTGGACAGAAAATACACTGACTGTCTTGTTCCCATCACCTGATGCCTCTCAATGCAGAGGTGACACCTTCTCAGGAGGGGAAAAAGGCAACCTCTAGTCCTTGAAGACAGGAGTGAGCCCCAAACTCTGAATGTTTACAGCCATTTGAATCCTCTTCATTCACCTGCCAAAAAACCTGCTTCTCTGTGAGGGAATGAGCTGCTGGAAGCAGGGCTACAGGTGCTATGCTTCCCTGTAAGACCATTAGCAGGAAAGGCAAGGCCCAGCTATGGCAGAGTATGGATCTACACACATTGCTTATTCATGAGACAAACATATAAGTAACATTTACATTGATCTTCTTGTGCTATTTGTGAAGCTATTTCAGGGAATAAATTCCAGGCAGTGATATCTCGAGTCTCGTAAGCTGGAGATGGGCCTAAGGGCAGAGTGAATGGCAATCGGAATCCCTGACAATAAAGTGTTACCTGAAAAAGCAGAAATGAAAATACATTAAGATAAATTGAACCATATACTCAAAATATGACTGCAAAAAAAACCCCACTCTTACCTTGGAAATAAATACAAACACCTTGAAGATGCATTTCTACAATTGCAGTTGTGTTACTCTCTGCAGATTGCACCCTAACCTTCAGCTTTTGTGAGGAATCATCATCATCTCTTCTAGTCATATCTGACTTTATAAGATATTGTTAAGAACATTGTAACTGATAGAGATGAGTTTAAGTGATAATTGAGTGAGTTCTTAAAAAATAAGGCAACAAGTTGAGTAACTGAGATGATGGATGTGTTTGGAAAAATGAGTATCATCCATTAAAGGTTGAAAACCAGCATGTTCAGCATTGGGGTAAGATCCTTCACTGTAGCTATGAATTATACTTGCCAAGAGAATCAAATGAATGCCTAATATGCCGACTTCTTTATTATCACATATTAGAGATCCTGCAGTACTGAAGCACAATGGAGGGCTAAGGACACACAAGTTTCTGTGTATGAATAGCTAGCTGTTATTAATTTGCCAGAGATCCATAGGGGAAATTTTTCAAAGAGGTGCATAGAGATTTGGTGGACAAGGACCAATTAATCAGTGGGACCCTGCAGGCGCTGCCTGTGCAGGCTGCTCTGAGAGGGCCACTAACTGCTCCAGCCTGGTGAGAGCAGAGTTGTATTTGTGGCTTGCTCAGGCCAGTCACACCAAGCATGGCTACTGCAGATGTGGGACTGGAGTGCCAGCACATACAGATGATGTTTGTGGCTGCAGCATGGTGCAAAGTGTTCTCAAGGCCCCCCTCTATCTGCTCTGAGACCCTGAGTCACTCTGGGTAAAAATGCATAAAGGTGTGAGTGCAGAGCAGTCAAACTTGAGACAATTTGGCCTCACTGCTGTTCTCAGAATGCAAATAAAGTATTTGACTACAGAGTCTGATTTTCAACCTTCTACTGCAGCGGCCCAAAGCAGCACAAAATCAAGAGAACTGTTGTATGTATTTGAACACCCACCTAATATAGTCAGGTATATAGCAGCTTCACTAAAAGGGAATGTTTTGCTTTTTGTTTCTTTACATTAAGTGTCAAAACTTTCAAAGTTGAAAATCATTCAAGGTCAGGAAAGGGAAAATGAAAATTTAACGTACCTCAGGAGCTTTAATTACTGTATCAATTGTTCGTGGAGATGTTGCAGCTGCTCTTACTGTAAATTCATGAGATGGATTTCTCTGATGTACTTCTGAGAAGCCCAACACAAGTGCTGCACCAGGAACGTATCGTATGAATCTGGAGATAAGATATGGCAAACTCAGGTGCACGAACAAAAGCACACATGGGATAGTGAGGACTGCTGGCAGATCCAAAAAGTCAGGAAAAAATGTAAGAAGTGGAAAGTCAAAGAAGTAATACTTTGGGTCAAATTAAATGGTTGATTTTATCCAGAAGAAACATACTGGTTTTATTTTGCCTATTTAAATGGTTATTTTTTGAGACTGAATAGAAGAATATTTTAAAACATAAAGGCCTTTTGAACTGAAATAGCAAATAATTTAATATGGAAAATGAAATCTAACATGCTTTTGAAATATTTGGAGGCTATAATTTAATATGAAACATGGAAAAAGTAGAACACATTCATAAAATACTTGTGTACCGTGTTTCCATTCAAGCACTCTCTGCACAAGTATGTTTGGGTTGAAAAATTTCATTCAATTCTTTCAGTGTTTTTCAAAAGCCAAGTAGGGTAAAAAAGTCAAATAAAAACTTAGGAAATAATGAATTACATACGCTGTGCTTGTCTTTTTTATCCAGGATGGAAGCTTTCCCCATTGCACCTTCAGCTGTGCAGCTGGCTTCCTTGCCAGTTTTCCTGTGGTGGCCACTGCTGATATCCTGTAATCCCGACACTCCTTGCCCCATCTCAGTCTGGCCTTTGTAAACAGGGAAACAGTCACCCAAAGCTCAGAAAACAATCCCAGAATGAACCTTGAGCATTTCAAAATGCAAAATTTTCTTTCACTTATTTGTGCACTGTTCCTTCATATTTCCAATCTTTTGCTCTCAACATGCTCACAGAGAAATTTTGACTTCTTCATACAAAATCTGAGGTATACTAGGAAAAATGTTTTCTGGTTTGTGTAGAACTACATATACATGTTCCTGTCTCAAAGCAGCCTCTGAAACATGTTGAGATTTCCTTAGATGTGGTAACTTAATCAATAAGTATTTTTTCCTAGAAGAGGACTCTACTTTAATTTCTTGCATTATAGAATTTAATGCACTATAATTTCTCTTTGCCTTTCCCAAGACCTCCTGATTTGAACCCACCCCACTTTCTTGAATACTGAATATCATGCTGAATCTGTTAATTGCAAAAAGCAGAGGTTTGCAAATTGTTGCACAAACATCTCTTGCTCTAAAAAGCTCATGAGAAGCACAACACAGGGATATGCAAAAAAAAGTAAGGACCTGTTCCTTCACTTATGATGCTCTCTTTGGCATCAACCTGTTACCCAACTTTGTTTTGTCTGTCTTTTCATATAAATATAAGAAAAACAACATTGTAAATATATTTGAGTTATGAATCTTTTGAAATCACAGGACAGTCTGATTTGGAAGGGACCGAGAAGGATCATCCAACTCCATCCAGAAAGAGTTCAACTCTGAAGTGAACCCAGAGTAGAACAAATAATAAATTGTGATGAAGAAGTCAATTTTTCAAATATTTTTTATTATTTTACTGGTTATATTTTGATTTATCTTAAAAATCAGTATTTTTTGCCAGATTTTGAAGTGTGTATTTTTTTTAATATTATCTATTTTTAATTCAAAAGAATGGTGAAACATTTTCTGAAACTTTACGAAACATTTCAAAATAAGTATGCCTTTCCTGTTTAATACTCCTAATCAGCAGATTCTCAGTGCCTACTCTGGGCTTTGTAGATGTCTCTCAGTGCAAAGCTGCCTGTGCACTTACCTGTGCTTTCAGAGGCAGTATCACAGCATCAGCACATGCTTTCCAATTGGTTTCAGCCAGCTGAACCACAACTAGTTGCACATCAACTTTGGCAGCATCAGAACGAACATATGCTGTAGCTTGATAACCTTGATTTCTGTTGTCACTCCTTACTGCCTGTGCCACAATCGTAATGCCAGGTGGAATTACATCTCCCAGGAAGTTGCGCTGAAAAAGAGTCCCCAACCATCTGTGCTTAAGTATTTTTGTGTATTCACCAGAGAGCCTGCAGTCCAGTTAATGTGTGCTGATAGCAGGCAGCAGCCCTTGTCCTTCATCAGTTTAGTTTACAGTACTTATTTCTATATCCACAACAGTTAAGGATGAATTTGGTTGGAAATTCAATTATTCAAAGACGTGATTATTTTCATGAGGGATCCAAGATGCTTCCAAGCTATCTTTATGCATATAGCAAGATTTTGTTCATTATTTTCATGTTTCAAATAGCTGCCTACAATGTGTACTAGAGACATTTAGAGTAGCAAATGCATTCACAACTTATTTTACTATACTACAGTTTCTTCAAGCCAATCAGATATTTTGAAATCCCTCTTAGTAGCAGAATTACCCCAGACATTGCCTACATTTGCAAAACTATTTTTTCTATTATTATGTAGATACCTTTATGCAGTGCAATTATAGAATACTAAGTGCATAATAAAGGTAAAGATGATCTGTGCTTAATGGACCTGCACATTTACCAATCAGTAATGTCCATGGAAAGTCTGATTTTAGTTATACTCTACATGCACTCATGACCTCCAGTCTACATTTAAAAATAATTAGGCAGACTTATTTATTTCTTCTTCATTTTTACCTAGAGCAACTGATTTTGTATTCTGGGCTTTCACAGGGAAAAGAAAATTCTTTCTTCTTTAACTTACAGCTACATTCCCTTCAACGTGTATAATTTCCAAACCCAGTCTTTCACATACTGCAAACACCTTCAGAAATGAAGTAAAGGAAACAGGCAAATAAAAGCCTGAACACAAGGGGATTTAAAAAAAAATAATTTTTTTTTTCAGGGGGAAATATCTCAATGAATTTTGACTTTCAATTTACAGTCTTGACTTTTAGTGTCCTTCCTGAGCCTAACCTCCTCAGCTGGTTGGTGCCACCACATCTACAGCTCCCAGCTAAGCCTGGCTACTCTGGGTACCACACACAGAGCTGTACCTCACGTGTCAGGCTGGAGCCATGGCTGTGGTGATGAATGCTGACTCTTTTGCTCCTCCTTGAGCTGTGAGCAGAATTTTCTCCATGGTGGTGGCGGCTGCTGCTGCTGCTGCTGCTGCTGCTGCTGCTGCTGCTGCTGCTGCTGCTGCTGCTGCTGCTGCTCCTGCTGCTGTTTCTGTGGCTGCTTCCCAGTTCAGAGGAAGATGATGATGAGCTGCTTGATCCTTTATGATCTGGATGCTATGAGATAAAAATAGGTTAAAAATCTATGAGGTAGCCTCTAGTTTTACAGTGTAAATATCAAAATCACAGCTATCAGCCTCCCTTTATAAGTAACAGACTTGGACATATCTAGAGTGATATTTTTATTTCCATATATAGACATGAATTATGTTGGGTTGGTGCCTCGGATCCACCTCAACATCTCTGCTGAAAGAAAGACTGCTAGACACTGATTGCAAAGGACAACATCACACTGTTCAGATCTAACGCTAGGGAAAATGAAAAGTGGCATTTCATAAACGGTCAAATACATCCATACCCAGAAAAAAAAAGATAATACAATTTTATGAATAACACTATAAATCATCCTCTTTCACATGCAGGATATATAATAGCTGTACAGGTAACACCTACAAAAGCCATTATCACCCTTCTAATATATGCTAAAAATACCTTTGTGCCATAATGTGTACTGAACCTGGTTTCTGAAAAAAATCTGTGTAATGATTTGCCATGGTTGCCTAAGAACTGTGGACATAACTATTGCCACTGGAAGGTCCCGCTGCTTTATGGTTCCCCCATGGTCTGTGTTAACTTTGGCTGCATTTGTGTGTCCTAACCCAAATTTGAGAACTGCAAATGCTGCAACACCAAAAGGATGTAGTGTAATAACATATTAGTAATAAATCTGCTTTTTTTTGTACATCATCAATATTGTTATTGGGCATTATGGAATGGTAAAGGGAAATGGCCCAATCAAAGCCTTTCAGTAAAAGGCTTGATCTCATCAGCTGCAGCTACCATGGCAATGTGCACTTGAATTAGGCACCTACCCAATGGATGTGAGCAGGCCTGAAGCGGAGACTGTATACTTTTGGAAGGTGAGATTCCTGCAAAATTCCAAAAGAAGTTATTACCTACAGCTCAGTAAAGATCACCTCCCAGCAGAAGCTGAAATATTAGACATTTTACCCATTCTGTAGAAATGTAGTGACTGCTGCCACTGTTCACTTGGTTCTTGACGTGGTTCGTCTCAGCTCGTTTGTCAGATTTGCTGTGCCAATGGGAAACACCAGTGCTTTCACTGCTGCTGCTACTCCATGTTTTAGGCTTCTGCTCACGGACACTTCTCTCTCCTTTAGCAGCACTGGCAAGTGGAAATGATGTGGTCTTGGACTGCTTCTTAGCCTTATGCTTTATACCAGATGCTTTGCTACTGCTGCTGCTACCAGCACTACCTCTGGTACTGCCTCTGCTGCTGCTACTACTGCTTCTGCTGCTGCTGCTCTGGCTGCTGCTACCACTGCTTCTGCTCCTACTGCTGCTGCTACTGCTGCTGTCCTTGCTGCTGCTCCTACTGCTTCTGCTCCTACTGCTGCTGCTACTGCTGCTGTCCTTGCTGCTGCTGCTGTCCTTGCTGGTCCTGTCCTTGCTGCTGCTACTACTGCTTCTGCTCCTACTACTGCTGTTGCTGTCCTTGCTGCTGCTGCTGTCCTTGCTGGTCCTGTCCTTGTTGCTACTGCTGTCCTTGCTTCTACTGCTGTCCTTGCTGCTGCTGCTGCTGTCCTTGCTGCTGCTACTCTTATTGCTACTGCTCTTGCTACTGCTACTACTGCTCTTGCTGCTACTACTGCCCTTGCTGCTACTACTGTCACTACTACTGCCACTGCTACTACTGCTGCTACTACTGCCACTGCTGCTACTACTGCCACTACTGCTGCCACTGCTGCTACTACTGCTGCCACTGCTGCTACTGCTGCTACTACTGCTGCTACTACTGCTTTTGCTGCTGCTACCGCTACCACTACTGCTGCTACCGCCACTGCCCCCAAAGGGGTAGAACTTCTTTCCTTTGGCTTTGGACTGCCCTGTTTTCAGATTTATCTGGGTTCCTCCCTGTGATGCTCTGTCATCAGAGCTGCTGCTGGAGGGGCTGCTCGTTGTACTCTCGGCACTCCCACTGGCACTGCTGGCACTGGATGATGAGCTCCTATATTTTCTTGTCCCCTAGTCAAGGGGAACATTGGAAAAAAAATAGTTATTTTTCTGTGTTCCTGCAGAATGGCATAAGTAAAATCAGATGCAGACACTTCTGAGTCTCTGCTGCCTTAGAAGACAAGGTGTATGCATGATAACATTCTTGCAACACATCACAATAATTCAAAGGCAATTTCATAATAATGTGTTAAACCCACACATAAGCAGAACAATGCCCCAAACACTTTTGTGATAAGGAGAATGCAGCAGGTGACCACACAATGACATGTAACTGGTATCAGTAATGACAATGCTGTAGCTGTCACTGTCTCAGGGCAGGCTGTGTAGTTGGTGTCAGAGCATTTTGCTGCAGTTGCAGTAGCTGTAAATAACAGACTACTTTTTGACCACACAACAGCTATTTTATTTCTTACAAGAGATTTTCAGAAAAGCATACAAAACCAACTTGCTCTTTCTAATGTCTTTCGTTTGCAGAAAGGGTGAGTGCCAACAAAAGACCTGCTGAGAGAGTTGTGTACCCAAAAGTCTGTCTTTATTTTCCACTTTGGTATAATATCTAAACAAAGGAAGCTACTTAGTAGAAGGAATAAAATTAAGCTTTGTGTAATGTCTCCCACAAATCCAGAAGTGGAATTTTGCAACAGTACCTGATCATCAGTGTCAGCAAGGATCTTCTTCACTTTTTTAATTGCTTCTTTTCTGGAAGATGCTTGTGCTTCTGGATCTTCAAATGTTACTAGGCGTACCATTTTTGTAGGAGCTTGGTCTCCTGCTTGAACTGTGACTTGTATTTTTTCAATGGGTGCCTCAGTGTAAACTGAAATTTCATGACAATTAGTATTACTGTTACTATTAGCAACTAAATGAGAGAATAAGCCAATTTTACCATAATTTAGCAATTTTTTCTCAAATATAAATATTCAATGATTATTATTGGTATTGAGCAACTTTGTTCAAAATTTTCTCATATAGCTAAAGCACATAATGGCAATAAAATTTTAAAATATGACCATGATACTGGATTTTTTCAAGCCAATAAACAGAGTGATCAGCAGATTTTAGTCAAGTGAATTGGATTGCTTAAAGAGATAAACCATGGGTTAATGAATTAAACGTCAGACAGGAGTAGAGGCTCAACTCTTGAATGCTACAGAATGGCCCAATGGTTAGGCCATTAGTTTGGTACTTAGGAAAGCCAGATTCAGTGGCCTGCTGTGCTTTTATTTCTTATGATCATGGATTAAGACATTAAGGACTAGATCCTGGCAGGGTTAATCCATAATTCCCTTTTAGAGTCTGGGTTTTAGAATGTAGCTACAGGACACTGCATCAGATCTGTTGCCCATGTCCAATTGCTTCGTGCTTGCATCCCAAATCCAATGATTCAGGATGCATCAGACACACTCTGCAGGCACAGATCAGCCCTGCTTGACGCTGGCCACGCTGAGTGACATTGCTGGGAGAGCTGGGAAATTGCTTCTCAGGCTACTGGGGGAGAAATGGATTCCTGCTGTGAGCGTAGCCTGTTGCCAATACTGGCAGGCCTTGTACTTCTAAATGTGGATTTAGTGATACTTAAGATGCAAAAAATATATAGGTACATATACATCTGTATCTATCTAGCTGTATGCCTGTGTGTGTGCGTATTTTCACCCACTATTTTCTTTTTTGTGCCCAGTTGTATTTACCTGGCTTGAAGGTCATTCTCAGGGCATGCTCTCCAACCAGGTAATAAAGAGGCACGTTCCTGATAAATGCTGCGTGCACACTTTTCTTCTCAATGCACACTTGAACTCCAAACGTACTTGCGTTGAAGCACACGGACCGAACAAATGGCTCTTTTTGGGAAGAAGAATGTCCAGAAGAAAAGGGATTTCCTGATGAAACATCCTCTGCAGACTGTCTATCCTATTAGATTGCACACACAAGTTAATTCAGACAACTGAGTTAGAGAAGAATACCTGCATGTTATGTACCTTACTTTGGTAACAGTTACCTGTACCCTGCAGGGTGAATTAACCAGTTTATTTGAGATACCAAGGCAGTGACATAGGACAACTTGGTTTTAAACTGGACAAAATTCTGATCTGAATGGGTTGATTAGACTACCTACCCTAAAAGGAGCTTCAGGCTATAAGAATGGAAAATTATGTCAAAAATTAATTCTAAATATTTAAATTTGTTTTCCTGGAATATTAGATAATGTTAACAGATTCTTGATAAAGCTGAGTGTGCTTTAGACTGACTGGAGTTTTTTTCTTTGATTTTAGATGTGTCAGACAACAGAACTTTCAACTATGTCCACAAAAATTCTGACTCACCTGAGGTCTGACATGAATGTGACACTATATAAATTAAATGGTCAAAACATATAATGTATTAGAAATTTCCACTAAAATCTATGCAATTTACATCTAGTAAGCAATGCTTACAGAAGAACAAATTAAAATTAATTAAAATTGGAATCAAATCCATGAAATAAAAACTATGATTTTCTGAAGCAATGAAGCAAATACCTAAAGACACAATAAACACAAGCTTTCATTTCACATATAATTCAGGTTTGCAATTAGTTTTTTAATGCTGTTTATCATATCTCACAAGATTCCAGCCTTGTATGAACCTTACCAAAAAAACCTGGAATTTCTAGTGATACTGGGAAATGCTCCACTCAGTGCCATTTTTCAGTTGCTGTTCATTTAAGAATAACTGTGGAGTTTTCAGGAAGGGCAGCACAGAGGCACAAAGCAGAATAAAGCTTGTTCCAGGGTATTGGAAACTGTTCTCACTGATAGCACGTTTGTCTATTGACTTCTCCATAGGAAAGTGCTGCTCTTGTCCTCTGTTCATCTCTTATTTTACCTGAAAACCCTTCAGAGTTGCAGGATAACAATGAAACCAGAACAGGACAGAATATTCTTCACCTCTGTCAGTCTTTTGCTGAAAGAATTGTCACAGCGATGCCTTCACAACACTGCCCATCTTAGAAACCTATCCTGGCTTTTACAGAAACCTGGCCCAGGAAGTCATGACCCAAACTGCACTCCATCCTTGAATCAGGATGCTTATGAGCATTAAATTTGGCTCTCTGAGTTGAGCATGTTGTGGAACATTTGTGACTGCCCCAGGAATGTGATGCTTGCATAATGGCTGCGAAGTATTTTAAAGATCATGGGCCTGTAGATGGCAGTGCAAAATTAATTACCAAAGAAAATACTTTTGTTTTAGAAAAAGTCTTGCAAATTTGATATATTACAGTCCAGATTTTAAAATAATGTTACTATAAAGCTATTTGTGTTATTAGATTGAACCTGACTTATTTCAAGTGAAGCAGCATTGGTCAGAGATGAATTGTACCCTTTCGAGAAAAGAAATGGTTCCCTCCTGTGTAGAAGCCCAAAAAAGAGTATTCAGACACGACATCATTTACCCAAATGTTATCAGTCTCGCCTGATGCAGAATCTGAATTGAAGGACATCTTCATTATGTCAGGCACTGCTTCAGGTAAAAGAACTGGAGTCATCTTAGTAGCATCCAAATCCCCAATATTTCGTGTAACAGCAAATGTCTTAGACCTGCAAAATAAGCATTAGAGGAAACCAGTATTGATAAAGCACTGCTGAGGAAAAGACCTGAATAATGCCTTGTAGCCTGCACTCAGCAACAAGTATCATACCTTGCAAATTGCTTTACAGATATTTACAACATCCTTCCTGTTATCTGTGTTTTCAAGGACTGCTAGGAGTCAATAAAGACACAAACCAATCTCAGGGGCAGATAGCCCAGTCAGGATTTTAGAATCATGAGTACAGGATAAAAACCTTACAGCTGGTTGGATCTTCATACCCTAATACCATGAAAAACAACACACTTAGAAGTTTGGCTGTGGATTACATTATTAAATTTTTGAGTCACCCGTTTTGAGCTCCTGGACTTTAAAATTTTTAAACTCATTATTTGTGTGTTCACTGAGGTAGCCTTATTTCTAATTTCTTTTGACATTATATTTGGAAAAATTCTGCCATAACTTCAAAAAACAACATGGTGGCTACTGAAAACTGTTTCCTGTGTTATTTTTATTAAAGCAGAATTGAAGAAAGGAGCATGAAATCATGAAAGTAAGTGTCTCCAGCTTGATTTAAATTCACTAATACTCATGGCTTGGCCATGACTTGGCAAGAGGTCAAGAGAGGTGTGCAGGAAGGTTAAGAGCCTATTTATGTTAATGTGCTCAGTACTTTGTTCCCAGTGCTGTGAACTCTAAGTGCATTTGTCAGGATCCCAGATCAGTGATAGAAGGTGCAGCATGAGACTGAGGCTCTTATGATAAAATATTCTGAACCCCTGGCTTCATACCCCACATTCTTCAGGGAACTTTTTATGGTGCTGTGGACTGAGAGTTTTGTTTTGGGTCAGAGAAGCATCTCAAATGCTGAAATGCTATTGAGAGACAAAAACCTGTTTCCCTCAGCTATTAACACTGTGCTAGCTCTACCTTATTAGCCATTGTCAGCTAGCATTCGTCTCAAAATCCCCCATATGCTCTTTCTCAAGGATGAAGCTGATCTCTTTGCCCTGGGGCTTTTGTGGTCTGCCAATGGAGGTGGCCGCTGTGACAGTGAATGGGAAGATGGTCTCAAAATGGTCTCTATTTTAATACGGTCCACACTGTACTAGCCTGAGCAATTCCAATCTAACCTATTTGAAAGATGAATTTGTATTCATTTGATAGCCCTCTCTTCCTCTTGAAGGCTCCTACCGTGCTGTGTGCAATGTAAAGCACACAATTGCTCTTCATGTGGAACACCTCAATAAAACGTGTGTCACCTGTGGGCTTTGTTTTCTTTTCCATCTCTCTCTTTTTTTAGATAAGGACATGACAGCAACGCTCCACGCTGGGTGATAGGAGAACCTTGAAGAATGGAATCTGAAATAAAATATTCTCCCTAACAAGCAGAGGGGATAAAAGAAAATACAAATCAACTTGCATTTCAGATGGTTCATCTGGGTAAAGAGACAAAAAGGGAAATGGTTTTATTTTAATCCCATTCAATAATTCAAATGACCACTGAACTGCAGGCTGGATCTCCAAGCAGAAAGCCCTGGGGTTTCTTTTCCAATTTTTTTTTAGTATTTTTATGCCAATAGTCTACTCCTGCCACCTAATGAAAGTGAAGGATCGATTCCTCCCTGTTGAGCACAGAGAGCGGACAAATGTAGCTGCATCACAGGTGACACGTGTCAATGTCTGCAGAATCACACGGCACAGTAAAAATAGGCTACAAGAGCCAGCTCTGGTGCTTTAACAAGAAAAAACAGTCACAAAGAAGGCCTAAAGCTATGGTATGAAAGAATCTGTTCTCTCTGATCCCACACAAGGGGAAAAAAATAAAAAGGAGGTTTTCCAATATGTATTAGTGCATTTTTGGATGAGAGAAGAAGCTGTGCTATAATATAAGTCAAACTCACTGCAGGGGTAAGGGACAAGCAACTCAGCTATGTTGGACCCACTGATGTTTCAGTGAGTGTGGCCTTACACACATCCCTAACATGGGGACAGAAGACCTCAAATGTCTGTTAGAACAAAAAGCAATCAACGAAAAACTATTTTCCCAGGTGTGACATCACATGTAAACAAATGAGAAACAAGATACAATCAGTCAGCCAGATCCTTAGCTCTCTTTCTGATGTGGTGAAATAAAATATTCTGCCTTTCCTACACATCTCCTTTCCAACTTTGGTGCAAAGGTGTTATAAAAAGAGAGACTTGGAGCCCCACCTGTTTCCCTTTTCTGCCCTCCAGACACACCTCACTGCCTCAACAAGATCACAGTCTAAGCTGCCTCTTCTGCATTTTCTGCTATAGATGTATAGAGGTATGTATTCATGTTGGTAAAGGAGTTTTCTAATTACCTGTTTCATTTTATAAATAAGATGCCTATGTGAAGAAATTTCTGCTTATCCTACAGCTAAAATAAACAAAAAACCTTATGATACAAGCTCGAGTCATGATTATATATATACTTCAGTACGCTGTCATTATGAATATGTGGTATATTAGCAAAGTGCATTCTCTGGCAGCTCTCCATATTTATACTTTAATCACAGAGCTCTAATTTCCCCTGAAATTTATTTGATTTTTACTTCTTGTAAATTTTGTTTAAAAGTATGTTGAAGTAGCCATCTGTAGTATACTAAATAATTATGCTAAAAGAGCCTTAAAAATAACCATTATTTTTAATTAAATTTTGATAAGATTGAATTGAAACACATGCTATATATTCTCTCCATAGTACGATTAATTACTGTGCTCTGATTTTTGCTATAGAGAGACTTGAGCCCATAATGTGCTGATTTGTCTTGGGAATGCAACCTCTCTATCACCAAAGTTTTCTTTTTTTTTTCTTTTTGAGCTTGTGATTACTTACCTGAATTTCTCTTTGGCTCTTGAAAATTTATATAAATCCCACTGCTGTGACAGGTTATAACCTTTATGGTGTGTAGGATATAAATGAACTTAATGCTGTTGAAAACTGTTTGCTTCATGTGTCTGAATATGAGATATGTTGGGGAAAATAATATCATATCCTGTCTAGCTTTAATGAGATGGGACTATAGAAGGTAACCTGCTGACCATCAAGATAGTGCCCAATACTAAAATATTTTGAACGGAGCTCACAAATACAAGAAAGATCAGTAGCTTTCTTTAAATGGGGAATTTAAAGCTAACAAGGGAAGGTGTCACAATATCTCTAAAATACTGACTTCAATTGGATCTTTATTATTTGGTATATCTATGCAAAAGAAAGAAAAAGACTATGTTCAACTAAAATTTTAAACTCAGTCTATATAGCTATATATAGATATATCTATATATCTTTATCTATATAGATATATATTTCTCCTTTCTCTCTACCATGCCTGCTCATTTCTCTTCATGTTTCTAAGATTTTACTTTGCTTGGTCTTTGACCTCCTCAGTGATGTGGTTCAATGTTACATTCTCCAGTTATTGCTTTGCCTTCACTTGCACTCATTGCTGTTTCATTGCTCTGTGTGGTTTCCACTGGCCATTTGTTTTGTAACAGTGAATGGGAATGCTTTTTGGAGAGAAATTGATGGTGCTAGAAGTCATCTAGTGACTATTAGCTTTCTCATATTCTTGGCATTATGGAGCTATTTCCAAGTGACTACTTCACTTTATAAATGGTAATGCTGCAGGGTCTAGAGCAGGGTTTGTGCTGGAACTCATGGGCTTCTCTGCTGTAATACCTTGTTTCTGACACTGAGTTGCTTTCTGCTTTATGACAATGTATTTAACCCTTTTTGTGTCTCATTTGATCTCCCCTTAAGCCAAAAGAGACTATTTTTTATTTATTTGCAGGGAGGATCCTTCTGTTAAAATTTCTCTCTGCTTGAGGCTCTAAACTCCCTATCAGTATTCAATATTCTCATTTCAGTTCAGTGTGCTTATTGAGTTCATTAATAGCTGCCTCACCCTCTCTAACATTGGGAACTAGTGAGAGCTGTTGCCTGCAGTCCCTGATGGCCTTAGGAGCAGACTGTCCTGGCCTCCATAAGAAACTGAACCAAAAAACCCCATGCAGCTAACTTTTCATCTCTGTAATGCTGAGACCCTCCCTACCTCTGCATGGAGGGACCCTTGTTACAACCACACTTGATGGAGTGGAGGAATTGTCTTAGGGAGGAAGATGAGATGTCAAATGGTCAGTGGCTATTGAAGGAGAAGGGGAAATAATGATGAGCCTAACTGGTGGCTAAATTGAGGAGACCTGCAGAGCGTCTCTGGGCCAGCAGCCATGAATGCTAATTGCAGCTGGATCAACCAACTGAGCTCTTTTGTTACTGCTGTATTCCTAGAGCAGAAACCTGTTAACATTTCAGTGGTTTGTGTAATCGTCGATTTCTATTGTCAGTGAAGCTTTTTCCTTTGTGATGAATTTTCAGCTTCTCTTTCTCAGTTTTTTTTCATGTGTGCATGTGTGAGGGTTTCCTAAGTTTGGTCTACCACTTTGATTCCTTGGACATACTCTTTCCGTTTCCTCCTGCTCTTTGCATTTGTATTTCCATCTGTTTTCATTTGTTTGGCATCTGGCTACAACAGTTTTCCAGAGTGTATTGTAATTGCATGCACTGATAATAAATCAAGGAGACCTAATAGGTAAGAAAACCAAATGGCAGCCACAGGGGAACAAGGTAAAAACATATAAGAAACACCAAACCCTCTATGCTTCAAGGCATCTAATGCAAATATAGATGGGTTAACTGTTCTAACTGATAGGATTCAGCTGACTTTTATCTTACATAGTGTTTCCAGGTCAAATGTTTGTATCAAGATAGAAATTTTATGTCATTTGTGTTTCAAATAGCTTATAGATCTCAACTACTGTACTAAGGAGGGTTTTCAGGTGAGCACCACAGAAGATAACACACATTTTCAAGCAAAGTTTAAGTACATGACATTTCATTTAAAATAAACATCAACTATACCAATCACCACCACTTATTCAAGCTGTAGGTCAAAGACAAGATTCCTAAATATATTTGGATTTATTTAGGAGACCCTGTTTTTCTACATAGAAAGATACTAAGTGCTATTTCTTACCTTATGCTAATTATGTTAGTCTCATCTTTACATGGTGGAATTTCAATTTTGATACTTTTTTCCCTCATCTGGATAGTGGCAACAACATTCACAGGTACATGAGCACTCATTTTGGTGCGTGCTTCCAGCCCTGCCTGGACTGTGTGTGTGTTGATTCCCATTACAAAGGTCATCTCCTTGGCCATGCTGAAAAGGTAGAATGAGGGTATAATTATGTTCATGCAGCAAACAGCTGTTGAATATGTATGTCCTCTGTCACTTGAAAATATTATTCTTTTATACTAAACACCTACCTTAGACTCATTTTGGATCTCAGCCTAATGTTGGCATTTAGTAACTCAGTCAATCTGAAATCAGACTTTGGAGAAGGTGTAATCTGTGCTTGAACTATTACAAAGAAAGCAAAGAAAGGGTTAAGAATGCCCTCCAGTCCTAGCAAGAATGTTTGTATTGCCAAAGCAATGAGATATATTACCATTTCCTGCCACTTTTGTGATAGAAGAGTAATAGAAGCTGGTCTCTGTTGGGAAGCCAGTGCAGGTGGGCACGATGCGGCGGATCTCAGAGGACAGAAGAGTTTTGGTCCACTGCCTCCCTACCCCACTTTGAAGGCTACTGATTATTCTCCTTAGTGAAGGGATTTTTTCATCAGATCCATACCATGCCTGCAATTACAGAGTTCAACATGTCTCAATAAGCAGAACTTGAGTATCATGAGCCGTGTCATTAACTGTGCCTCAGGGGAAATACTGCCAGCAATGATTATAAATAATCCTGATCAAAGCTTGACCTTATTTGCCTTGACTAATATTAGAGACAAAAAACCCAACCATGGATTTATAAAAGGGAGAGAATGTATGAAAGTAACAGTATTTTAGATCTTTTGATGCTTGGGTAGTGGTGCTTTAAAAATGATACCTGCAGTGCGTTTTGGATGGTGTTTTTATCAAGTCCACCAAAAAACAGCTCTTGGCCAAACATCTTCAAGTAGCCTGATGCAAAAGGTTTGTCACTGGAGAATGCCTTCCAGTCAGAGAGCTGTGTGAGAAGATGAAAAAAACCTGATTCTTCATAACATTTGAGAAAGCAATATCAAAGATTTTATTTTCCTCCAGAATTTACCGTTTTCAGAATTTTCTTGAAGTCATAGTCAGTCTCCCAGTCCCTGTCAGGAGAGTAACCTTTAGCAAACACCTCCTGCAGTCCTTCAATTGTTATTCCTACCTGTGGGAAGAAGTAAAGTGCAGATGCCAGTGGATGATGGTTGTAAGAAGGGAATAGAGGGTAAACTGTGGGTAGACCCAATTACCTCCAAGGGATCAGCCACTCTTCCAAGGAAATGTGTCCGTAGCTGGGACATTGCCATAGCTGGAATTAAGCTACCCACATTATTCAATACCAAATATTTAGCTGCCAGCCCACTCATAAGGAACTCTGCAGAAAAATAGGCAGTAAGACACAGCACAGTTAGTTTCTAGGTCAGAGTGTATAGATCGTATCTATTTTCTGATTAAATAATCAGCATCATATGAGCAAGGCCGGAAAACTCCGCTATAAAACCGGTGTTCTAAAACAGTTATAAACAGAATATTCTGAATTTTTAACTAATAATGGGCAAAGCTACAAGCTCATTGCATGGTGATGCATAACTGATCATTGCATGGTGGTTATGTTATTTTTCCAGTTGCTTCTGCTATATCATAGACTCATAGTATGGTTTGGGTTGGAAGGGACCTCAAGGATCATCCAGTTCCAGCCTCCTGCCATGGGTACAGGCCCCCTCCAGTAGGCCAGTTTGCTCAAATCTGCATCCAACCTTGCCTTGAGTACTTCCAGAATTGAGGCATCCACAACTTCTCTGGGCAAGCTGTATCAGTGTCTCATCAGCCTCACAGAAAATAATTTATTCCCAATATCTAATATAAACTGACTCCCTTTCAGTTTGAATACATTCCCCGTTGTCCTGTCACTCCATGCCTTTATATAAAGCCCCTCTCCACACTCTTGCATACTCCCTTCAGCTGCTGGAAGGCCACAATTAGGTCACCCCAGAGCTGCCTCTTCTCCAGACTGAGCAGTCCCAATTCTCTTAGCCTTTCCTCACAGGAGAGGTGTTCAACCCATCTGATCATCTTGCTGGTCCTCCTTAAGAGTTGCTCCAACAGGTCCTTTGCTGAGGGCCCCAGAGCAGGATGCAGCCCTGCAGGTGGGGTCCCACAAGAACGGAGGAGAGGGGCAGCATTTCCCCCTTGTCCTGCTGGTCAGGCTTCTTTTGCTGCAGCCCAGGACAGGATTGGCTTTCTGGGCTGCAAGTGCACATGGCTGGCTCATGTCCAGGCTCTCCTTCTCAAGCACTCCAAGTCCTTCTTGGCAGGGCTTCTTTTGATCTGTTCATTCCCCAGCCTGGATTGATATGGAGAGTGCCCATGTGCAGCATCTTGTGCTTGGTCTTGTTAAAACTCCTAAGATTCCCATGGGCCCACCTCTTGAGCTTCTCCAAGTATGGAAAATATGCCTATCCATATCATTTACATCCAGCCACACTCTGTAAAATCAGCTTATGAAATGCTTTTATGAGACATCATTTAAGGCACCTTGACAAAGGAGATGAGAAATGAAAACAGATTTGCCATCCTTTGCTAATAGTTCAGGGAAAGTGATACAGATGTCCTATAAGTACAGATGGTGAGCTATAGATTTGTCTCTCAAACGACTCAAAGACTATTTAATGCATCTTGTTCAAAATGCTGTAACCCTTACATGAAATGCACCAATTATTAAATTATTGTTAACTAGTGAGTGAACTTTGAGCAAATAATTTGTTTCTGTTTATTTCTCTGCTTATATTTATCATCTATAATGTTCTTAGGCACAGGTAATCAGTGCAGAGCACAGTCAGGAATTCCTCTTGGTCTTGGCACAGTTATATCCTGTCCTGTTTTATGAGTTAAACTAATCCCACTGCTTTTCTAAATTTCCTTGGGTTTCAAGAGGAACAATTCCTGCAATCAAGACACAGGTACTTATCCCACCCCACTTTTAGTAGATAGTAATCTACTAAAAAAACCGAAAAACAACAAAGTGGTGCCACAATGGTACATTACTAGGGAGCTGACAGGAAACCTGGAAATGTGAAGACTAGTTTTTTTTCTGCATGAGCTTAGCCAGAGCATTTCCAGGTGTTTTGTGGACAGGACACTAAAACTGAGGCACAGTACTTTAAGTGAATTTGTTAAAGCTATCTTTTATGTTCTTACCACAAAACCTGTTAGTTAAAAGGTCCATGGTACATCCTGATACTTAATGAGAAGTATTGCTTATAAATAATAAAATGATTGTATAGAATTCATTGATTTGAAAAGAGCAGCAATATTTTCCATACCTCAGGCATTACATAGTGCTAATGCTCCAGGAATATATTTGCCATTTCACTGTGAGAGTTTGATGACACCTTCATATATCTGATTAAATGCCTTGCCCCAAAGATGAGGGAAAGAAGACTTAGTGAGCAAAGGTATGTATAAACATTAGTACACGTTTAATTATATGAATCTGAGCATATTGAGAGTCAGATTCTAACAGTCTCACACTGAGGAGAACCTGAGTCATCTCTTTGAGTTCTGTAGCAATGTAGAGCATGAAGCACTATTTGTGGTGGCCATGTGTGACAAATTCCAGATTAGAGGCAGATTCAGCTGACATTATTGCCTGTCATTAAAAATTCAGCATCTAGCACCACAAAGATCTGTGATGCTGAGGGCAGATTTTTTGTTTTTATCAAGGAAATAGGTACTGCATTACAGCCGTCACTATGGTAACTCCTCCAGAATGGACTCACAGAAACACATTTTACCTGTGGCTAGTGGAAACAAATTAAATTAGAAAGCTGGAGGATGGATCCTCTTCCCATACTAGTGTAGTAGGAGATTGACTTAATTTAGTTGAGTTATACAAGTCTAAGGTCAGCATGCTTGAGAAGAAGATCATGTTTTTTATTCTTCAGGATGAGGAGCTACCTATCCATGGCAGCCAAATTACTGACAACGGTCTTCACCAGGAAGTAACAGCAATTCCCTGATGTACTGCATTTTCAGGCTACAGCCAAAATAAAATATTCTATTTCACATAGCCCCCTGCCAGCCCCCATCCCTCATACATATTGCACCCCTCTTTCTCGCAGTGTGAAAATTTAGATGGCTTAATTTTAAAAGCAAAAATTAGAAGTCAAAATGAATGCCTAAACCAAGAAACACATATCTTCACATTAACAGAAAAATGTATCTATCCCTGAATGTATTTAAAGTAGTACAAAAGTTCACATGGTGTATACTAGTGACTGTGTTTCTTTGGGCACTTGCTGTCTCCATCATTGAGGCAGCAAGCACTGACTCATATATTTTATATATATATATATATATATGTATAGTATATTACTGTGATTCTTGCAGTATGTATTATATTTATTTACATTATAGAGCACATTAAATGGTCATGTAAAATCCATTAAACTGGGGCAAGACAATAATAAGATTTACAAAAGTCCTTCAAGTCACACCCTTCTCTCCAAAAAGGAGGCAGAAGTACTTGTACACTCAGCACTGTGGATTTCAGATGTTTCAGAGTCTCTTAATATTGATTACTTTGAAAAGAATCTTAACGCATACCAGTGAAGAACACAAGTTCTAAAAACATCCAACTCCTGATAGATAAACAGCATGTGTAAGGGGACTGTGTTTGGAGCTATAATCTCTCTAGTCTGCCAGCTACATATGCCAAATCACTGAGGCTGTCGTGGTCATTTACATAGGGGAGTTGCTTTAAAAAAATCTGAGAAAAATAACATACATGGAAAACAGCAAAAGCTACAATGTGGGCCAGCAAGAACCTGTCTTCTAATCTGGTCCTTCCCTGCTTTAACTACATTTTTATGTGCAGCTCTGATGTAACTGGCCAGTCTCCAGACACCATATGTGGGTCCACTCATTCTAGTAAAGAATCTTGGTAGGAAGATGCAAGAAAAATCTTTAGACGATAAACCTGACGTAGCTGCTCATGGGTGCAATGAATTGTCACATCTGAATGTTTTCAGAGTTTTCTGTTTCACTGGGCACAATTGTTGGGGTAAAGATTATTTAGCATCACATTTGAATGCAGAAGGAGCCGTAGGTGTTTAACACTGGTAGAAATTAATCCACTTCAGCAGTAATTTAGGTCCCTTCTGTTTGTTTGGTGCTGAACAATGGTATGAAATTGTTAAGCACCACTGAGAATACAGCATTTGATACAGGAGCATGTGCCTCCCTGACTAATGAAAACAGAGGGTTATAGCCCCACAAGCCCTCTGGTAATTTCATGCTGGCAGTGTACAATTCAAAACACACAGGGACCTAAATACTCTTCAGCTGCAGAGCCTGAGATTCCTATATTTTTTTCACTGAAGATGAGAAAATACAGAGGAACAACATGCAGCCTAACAGCTGGCTAGGAGAATTAGGCTCTCATGCTGTACAATTCTTTTCCCCCACATATTCACCAATATATATTTCTCTACAAAATCTTCTGGATCTCACCTTTAAAGATACTGAAGCGGAAAACCTTGCTGAACTGATATCCGGATTTGTCAAATTTGGGACTTAGTGCTCTGACAGCCATTCTGCAGGCAGAAGCCCTGAAAAGGTTCAGTGAGCACATTAACATTTCAATTAGCTTGCAACAAGTGTTTCTTCTAGGAAAGGAATTTCCCTTACATCTCTTGAAGATCCGGAGCTGTGCTTCTACCCAGGGCCCTCAAGTGAGAGTAGATGAAACTTGCCACTTGCATGCTAGGTTCCCTCAGCACAGCATCAGCTAATGCCATCACGATTGGAAGTCCTGGCTTGGTTTCAAGCAACACCGCTGCAGCTAACATTCGGATTCGAGGCTGACATTTTTGATTCAGGAAAATCTCAAGGGTAATAGCCTGGACCTGAAAATAATAGAAAATAATATCCAGTTTTACTGCATGTTTGAACATTTTGCTAATAACCACCCAACACCAGTGAATGATCTGTTTCATCACTAGCACGGTAAAAATTTGGATTATTTAATTATTATTCCTGCTTTCATAGTCTGAGGGCTGGAAGGGGCATTATGGTAATATAGAATGGCTTCCTACACAATGAAAACCAAAGAACTTCACTGGATAACTTGTACACCACGTCTTTTATCCCTTTTTGAGTGATCCCACTCTAGGTAAAAGAGATTTCATGAATTCTTTACATACCTGAGAAGAGATTTCAGATATCACTTATCCCTATGCATAAAGGTACAACTTATTTCTAATAATGTGATCTTCTGGGGTACTTTCTGCTAAATAATAGAATAAAAATGAAACAAATGGAGCCCAATTTATTACCAGGAATCTCTGTGCCATATAGGCAGTTTAAATCAAAATTTAATGCAATAAACTTAATTTCCTTAGTAGTACTTGTGGTTGATGTATTTTCCCTCAGCAATATTCACTATCAAGACCAATTTTGTACTGGAACCTTTCCAGCTTCCAGGGGGACACAGGAGCATTTGGCCCTAATTGTGGATGATGTGATGGTGGTTTCCAAATGTCCTGGCAAACCTTCTGCACATCCCTGTCCTGCCTGGGAGAGTGCATGTCCATGAGCTGAAATGAAGAATGACCCAGGAAACTTCAGCAAACTTTGGGAAAACCCTGACTGGTTTTATTAATTTGAATAGGTTGATTATCAAATGCCAATGTAGAAGAGGTGGCAAAGATGCAGCAGGCCTAAATGAGGCTTTTCAAACTAAACAGTAAAAAAGGCCATGAAGTAAGTGTGTTTGATCCAAATATGGGAGTGTACCTAGCTGCAAAACAGGCATTAAACAGTTTTTTGAACAATGAAAAAAGTGGTCACAATCATTAACTTGTTTCAGATCAATTTTCTCCAAAGAAAATGCATAGAAAATCAAATGAGTGGTCTGGAACATCAGTGGAAAGCCAGGCCAAAGTGCAATCAGAGATGCAGCGTTATTCTCAAACACCAAATTGGCTTTTTTTTTTTTTTTTCCACAGCAAAGACTTTAACTTCTACCTTTGCAATTCCCTCCCCTCCCTCCCCTGCATTTCCCTATCCAGCTCCTGCACTCTACTAAATTGTTTCTTTATTCTTCTGGTTAAAAGCATACCCTGGCACACTATTGTCTGTGGATCAATGTGTGCACTCAAACTGGGAGGCACATGCAAGAAATGAGTATAATGGAAACACTGATACTGATTAGTAGGTGAATAGCTAATGAAAGCTTTTAGTGTACTTTTTATATTAAGAATTTACTTATATAAAACAAAAAATTTCAACATCAGGAAAAGAATTTTGAAAACCTTGAAAAGGTTTCCTTTTAAAAGCAGATTGCTTCAAAGTGAAAATGATTGTAAAGTGACGTCTGCAGTAGATGAGAGTATGCTGGTGTAGGCATTGTATGAGAGATCTAATAATTATCTCAGTCAGGGACAAAAGTCACATTTAGTAAATGCTCTGTTTATGACTTAAACCAGCACAATGTCTGTAAATTTGTAATTAGGATGCAAACCCATGGTATCTATTTACAATGAAATGCGGTCTTGAATTACGATTAGATGTGACACTCAGTATTAAATGTCAGCTCTCTGAAAACCTTGTTTTGTGGTTCTCTCACATACCAAAGGTGAAGTATTACTAAACACATTTGGGTCAATAATTTAGTTTTCTGTATAATGTCCTTGGAAATTAAATGTTTGCAATGGAAATACTGATTTGTCTCCAACAACAATGAATGTATCCTTTTAATGGGATTTTTTTGTTGCAGTCTGAAATATCGGAGGTTAATGTCAAAAGAAATAAGACATGCTTACCAAGGAATAGCTTTGTATTTTTTTTAAAAAAAACATAATGTTTGAAAAAAAAGATCTGTTTTTCCCTCATCACCCATTATCCATTAGCAGCCTTGTGAGTGGAAGTCACAAAGGCAAAGGAGGCAGATTTGTTTTCTTACCGTTTTGGGGTCTTTTAGGCCTATGTTCTTCAGGGCCATCACAGCAGCTGCGTGGACCCTGAGAGGAAAATCCGAGGCACCAGCTGCATATCCTGGCAAAAACTTCTTGATGTGCTTGATGCTAGCTGGATGTCCTACATTCCCAAGGGCTTTCAAAGCCAGGGAAATTTCTTCTGTGCTAGACTTGCTCAATGCCTCTCCTGCAAAGCCATGAAGAAGCTGAAAAATGAAAACAAATCTGTTGAGTTCAATTCCAGCTCTTATCTATATTCCATCCACCAGCCTGTTCTGGGTTTGACTTCATAATTTCAGTTTGTTCAATTCATTTATTTTAAATATTTTCAAATTCTTTTTTTTTGCCTCATGAATAGAACATTTTATTCATAGAACAAGTATATCCAAGAAAGCTGCAATGGACAGCTTCTTCATCACTATACCCTGAAGTTATCAAGTAAGATTTTTAAAGGAAAAAATAATGGCTAGGACCTTGTGCCCACTGCCTTTCAGGGTAAGTTGGGACCCTGAAATAATGCTGCTTGAGCATCTCTCTCTCTCTCATAGCTGAAGACAGGTGCAAAAGTACAGATGAAATTGCTTCAGACCCTAAAAAAGATTCCTGAAAATATGGCTAGTGGTGGTGCCCTTAACCAGCTAGGGTAGTCTCTTTTCAGCATAGATTAATAGATGCAAAATGAGATCAGTGCCAAAAAATCAGCTCATTTTACAGCCTTCACTGTGAGCAACTGGATCACACTTCCATTAGTATGGCAAGATTAAAAGTAGTTGTCTGAAGGCTGAGTAATCGCAAAGAACTAAATCCTAATAGAGAAGAGTTTTAAATGATAACAAATGGCACTAAAAAAGAAATTGAGATCTTAGAGGATAATTTCAATACAGATTCTGTACTTTAAAATAACACATTTGAGATCCCTTGATGGTGCAGAAACAGTCTACTTGATATTACCAGTCCAATGAAGGGACACCTGAAATGCATTGAATCAGCCTAAGCAATAATTTGTTCTGGGAAAGAATTTTCATTGTCTGACACAGGGTTCTCAGATTTAATTAGCTCAAGAGCAATGGTGGCAATTGTAATGCAGGAGACGTATGTTGGGATGTTGGCCATGCCTACATACTACAGGAAAAATATCATGTCAGGCACACAGTGTATTTGGATCACCCTGCTCTCACTGGGGATGGTGGATTGATGGGTGCCAAAGACTAAACACACATTTCTCTTTCCCTCCCTGTTACTGGCTGAGTGTTTGGCCCCTGTAAAACATGACATGCATTTTTAGAACTGGGAAATGCTATTTAATGACTACTCAAATTGTTTGGAGGCCTGCTGATTAAAAGCAGTGCAGAAGGGGTGGTGTTACTGCTGTTTTAACAGCCTTATAACCTCTGTTGATGACAGGGCTTTGCTTCTGGCTGGGATACATTAATTCTGGCAAAAACCTGGGCTTTTGTGTCAGTTAATTTATAAATATACATAATACCTATATTTAAAGTATTTTCGAGCAATGTCACAGGACTTCACTAATAATTGGCAATAAAGCAATCAGAGATACTCAGTTGGAAAGTATTCTGAATTGTCTACTTCTTCTTCTCACTCCCTTTTGTGTGCTAATCTAAAGATAAAAATGATGCATTTAACCAACTGAGATTTCTTTCCCCAAAGAAAACACTGTATTGAAGCTAAATGCAGCTTTCTGAACAAGGAAGAAATGACTCAAGGTTTAATTTTTCTTTTAAATGATAACTAACAAGGTGGTTACCTGTAGACATTGGGAGCAGGAGTCTGATGAGGAGCACTGTTTGTGGCACAGTGACGCGTAGCTGAGGTGGCAAACCTTCCCAAGCACAGAGCTTGAGTGCTGGCACTGCTTCTTCACAATGAGCTGGGGAGAAGGCACTTGTTTGTTACTACCATTAATGAAGAGAAACATTACTGGAAAATATGCTTCTACCCAATGGAAGATAAAACCAGGCTTTTGATATCTATTTTTGTTGATGAATTTTCAGTTAATCTGTGGATAGTACTGCATTTGACAGTGTAATTGTAAAATTATTCCAAGTAACATCTGGAAGGCAGATCTGTTTCTTTTACAGTGTTTCAGATTTAAATTTGGCATAGCCTATAATCCAAAGGGAATAAATCACCCAGTTATGGAATGGAAAAATGCACATTATTGAAGAAATATTCATCATGCTTTATGATTGCCTCAGCTATAGGTACAATGAATTTAAGATTTGTTGTGTATGGACCTCACTACTTGGGCAGACAGGAATACTTTTTATAAACACAGGAGCTGACAGGAAGCACCAGCTCACTGGTTTCTTGTGTAGGAAGCAGAGCACCAGAACACAATGACAGCTGGGCTCTCATGGCTTTCATTGAGGGTAAAACTCTAGTCTGAGGTTCATTGTCTCTGCCTAGGGTAGGCAGAGATAAGTTCTTGCATCTGAGACTGGAATTAAACCCTGCATATCCAGAAAAAATTGCAAAAATAATTAGACTTTCTCCTACATGGACTTCACATTGACATAACTCCTTTGGTTTTGACAGATCTTCTCAAATTCATACCCTTCCTTCTAGGTCAAATAGGACAAATATGTGGATGTAACAAATATGTGTTTCTTGCTCCCTTGTCTTTGTAGGGAGTCAGAGATGTAATCTGGTGTAACTATAAAGTACATTTGGAAAAAGAGACTAGAAGCCACTGTTTGCAGCAATAACCTCTGTCCCTGAGAGGTATTTTAGTCTTTATTTCCTGTTTCATTCCAGACTCATTTTTGCCCTTTTGATTTGTATTCCCCTCCCCTTAAGACACTCAGGAAACAAAGCCCTTTCAGCCTCGCTAGAGGATATAAAACCTTTATCTTTTCAGAGACTTTGCTATCATGTCAAAGGAATAAATACAACAGATGCTAGAACCAGCAAAGTGTGATTTGAGAGTGTTTAGAGAATCCTACCGTTGCCTCCTCCATCACATCCCACGTTGGAGTGCTGGAGTGCAGAGCCACAAGCACTGTTTGAATCACTTCCCAGCTGGTGAGCTCCTGCCTTTCCATTTTATGCCGCAGGAACCTGAGAGCTCGGTGACTGGCCACTGCAGGAATTATATCCAAAATGTGGCGCCTGTAATGGGAAAGGCAAGCAGCATTTTCCAAATCTGCCTCTGAGCACAGGCATTCCAGAGGGTCTCCAGCAGAAGCAGCACCACCTTTATTGCCTGTACCTGTACGCTGGCCGATTGGAGAACTGCTTCCACACCGATTCGTAATTCTCCTCATTTGCTGCACGGAAGAGGTGCAGAAGCTTGAGAGCTTTTGCTGGTGCATCACTGGGAAGCTGCTCAGAGGTGGCTTCTACTAATTCTTGCAGGCTTTCCTCTATCTGCAGAAAGATGAAAATGCAGGAAGCTCACATGCACTATTTCCCACATGCATAGATTTAAATCACCATCAAAGAGTGTCCAGCGGCTGGGCTTTACCTGGTTTTCCACATCTTTTATTTTGAATAAGTGGACAGGAAGCTGAAGCAACTCACTGCCAAACTGATACTGAAGAGACCCACGATTCTGATACTCTTTTGGTGGGACCTCTGCCCTCTGTTTCTGCACATCAGTCAAAGCAAATTTCTGCCTGCAATGGAGACCCCAGGAAGAAAACATCACAGGATGCAGGGTAAAAACAGCAACAAAAAAACCCCACCAGTAATTCTGCTTCCCCATATTGCAGTGCAACTACAAAAGGTTTTTTTATTGAGGGCAAAGATATTTACAGAGAGATACATTTGGACATGGTGCTCAGAACCATACTCTGAGAAGGTGTGCACTTGCACAGCAGGGCTCAGATCAGAGCCAGCCTTTGCCTTCCTTTGGCAATAACTTGGCTTGAGAATTTATGGAAGAAGAGGGAGGTGAGCAGCTATGGCCTGAAGAATATCACAGGAAGCACCTGTTGTGTCTTAAGGAGTAAACTATTTACTGTAGAAAAACAAAAATGGAAAAGTTGCTCAGAAATAATAATTTAATTTAAACATTCTAAGAAGTCCATAAAAGCTGTCATGTGTCTGTGTCTCTCCTGGAAGTTTTAAATGGAGTTGAAAATTTTTAGATACAAAAAGAAATGCTACAATCTTTTTACTTGAACTATTGCAATCTCCCCCCCCCCCCAAATTTTGTTTGGTAAGCTGAATATCCTGGGGACTACAAAAGAAGGTTCTCATGACACTTTAAATTGGATTTACCAAACAAAAAGGACCACATAAATTCAGGATTAGTCTTTGGAAAAGTGCTCAACCTTTTGAAAACTTTTTCAGAAGCTACAAACCTTCATCATTTTTTATTAAGAATAATTCCAATGAGAGACTGTCTTTGTAAATGTTTGCTATCTTCTTACATTTTCAGCTAAAAGATGTAGCCTATCCTACCGATTATGTTTAAAATGGTTCATTTAGGACACTCTAATAAAGTTAGGCATTTGCACCGAATAACTGAAAACATTCCAAAAGCAATATTGCTGTACTACAGAGTCTCTCACATTCCAAAAGCAATATTGCTGCACTACAGAGTCTCTCAAAATCTCTGTAGAAAATTGGTGTGTTTATTTTGGAATCTCTATGATCTTCTGTATAATTTTTATTCACTTCTTCCATATGGATTGTAGAGAACTGCTGCAGAAAAATAGCATATAACTGCTTTACAGACAAGCTGCTGGAATTTGAATAGAAACTGCTTCAGAATCAGTAGAGATTTTTCTCTCAATATTTCATACAATATTATTGAAAGGGCATTTGGGTCAGAATGTATAACATCAGGTTCACTTGGGCAGCTTTAATTCTCCCTTTCAAATCATGCTGAATCTATTGCATCTTAATTTTCATTGTTTTGGGAAGAGTTATATCTGCCTAGAATTAATAGGAAAATGCTGTATTCTGAAGAGAAGAGCAAATTAATGTTAAAGATAGGATTAAAAGGGTGAAACAGTAGTAAAACCTCTCTTGGCTTTGAAAGGTGCTGCAAGAGTCATATGCTGAGCAGGTCTGAAAACTCAGCTCCAAGTACATTAAGGCCTTGATAGATAATTTTTTTCTAATAGAGAATATGCTGTGGAAATAACTTCTGAAGACTTGAGTGAGATAGTCACATCTTTCCAACTATCTTATATTTGTCCCCTTCAGCTGGGTAATGATAAAAATGCAGAGAAAATGGGAAAAATAAAAGTACTACACTTCTGGGAGCTGAGAAAGACCTTACTGAAGACAATCTCTACAGGCTGCAGAAGGAGAATGTAAAGCATCCTAAATCCAGACTAATGCTGACTCACAAAAACCATGAAAGCACTGCAGTTGTCTCTATCTACACCTTGACTCCTTGACTGCATAAGACAGTAAAGCCACTTTCTTTTTTTGTTTTGTTCAATTAGGCAAATTGAACTTGTTCATTATATATGCGAAGTTAGTCAGTGAGTTACTGATACAAACTTTCTGATGTTGCTGTTTCCAAAACTGTCTATTATACCAATAGATCCTTGCAGAAGCTAACGGAGCGATAAATATCACAGCACCTAGAGTGGGACTGAAGAATACCTTCTGCACTGTGGCATTTATGCAAAAAGCCTCTCCCTTCAGTAGGGCACTACTATTTACAGAGTCCATAACTAAATAAATAACAGAAAATTTTTTAAATAAATGAATTTGATAGATGAAAAAATTTTTCAATACTGAAAGTTTGAGTGCTTGAGCTAGGGGCACAATTTCGTAAACAAAGATATTCTTGTTTTGCCTCAAATTTCTTTAAGAAATATGAAAAATTTGCTGTGAAAAAGTAAATACATTTAACATGCCTTTCGCCCAATTGTTTTGCAATAAAACCTGATTTCCTACCAAGAAACAGTTTTGATGGGAGATTTGCAAGCTGCCCATGGTATTTAGGAATCCAAAGTACTACCTAGGTTTCTTGTGAACTGGTCTCCAAGGATCTCTTACTGCATTATTATTTTCCAGGGAACTCTCTTTCCTGAGTAACTGTCTTTCAAAGTATTTTACTTCAAATATATTAGTTCACAATTTCTCTGATGGAATTACATTTGTTTTGGCTTTTATGGCATAAATCAAATATCCCTGAGAAATAAAATAGCCAAGTCCTGCCAAGTTTAGCTAACAAAATTTGGATAGTGATGTGCACGTTTCAGATTTACAACTAACAGCAAAGGTTGTTTTTACGAGCTGTTTGGGATTTTATGTAATTAAATACTGGCAAACAATAGGCTGTGGAAGTAAAGAATTTATTTCACTTACGGACCTTCACTCAGATTACCGAGTTGCTGAATTAATGGAATATGTACAGTACCTTGCTTCTACGATAGCATTTCCTCCTGTTATCTCGTTGAAGGGTGCAAACTGGTGGATTTCCTCAACATCAGCTTGTGTAATTACAGCTTCACTACGCGTATATTTAATTTTGTAATTGTAAGTAGCAGTTGCACGGGAATTCTTGTTCCTCTTTATAATATAGAAAAGCAATGAAACAAAGAAAATAAAAAGTCATTGAGCTTTGAAATTCTGTGACTAGAGGCTATTACATCATGCACTTCAGCCCATTTGTTTTCCAGGGCTGTTTTGTTCATTGGCCTTAAGAGCAGTCAATGTGAATTCTGTGCACTCACTTCCATGGGAGAGGTCAGGCACACTGCCTGTCTCCATTACTTTTACTGCTAAGAAGTGTTAGCTGCTTTTTCCTTTTCCCAAATCTAAGTAATTGGTCATTCCCTCGAGAAGCAGACACATTTTCTGAGGAGAGCAGCTGCATAAACCATGCAATTTTTTATTTCAAAGACAGGATTATAATAAAATGCAGCGGTACCTGTCTTGAATAGCAGAAAATGGACATCATGACTATTTTTTTACTCAACAGAGTAGGTGAATTAACTCATGCTGATACTTAATGGTTTCCAAGCCAGCTAGTTTGAGCTAGCTCAAGTGTGCTTGCAGTACACGATAGTGTGCAGCCCAGACCTCTGCTGCTCTGTGAGATCATTTTCTTACAGAAAGAAAATATCGACAACTGGATACAGCAGATCTGATTCTTCCCTCATTTTTAGTATTTTAAATGAAGAGATTGTTTGGATATCAAGTGGTGTTCTGCATAAGAATATAAAATATATACATATAATACCACTCTGGTTTACCTGCTGGCACGTCTTGCATGGATGAGTGTATGCTGAACCTGTGACAATTTGAACTTTCTCTTCACAGCTGTTCAGGTCCTTGGATTTGGTCACATAGACTAGGTTTGCTCTCTTGTTTTCCTGAATTGCATATGTTGTGTTACAAACACCTCCAATCCCAGCCTGGCAAAAATGGGAACAGGATCAGAGAAGTTCTCTATCACGCAAAGCTTAACTTCACCACATGAAAACTTTTGTTTAATTCTGCATTTTCAAAATTACCAATGGAAATGAATGCTTTATTTATCCTTATATTCCTCAGAAGCAAAATTGCAATGATCATTAATTTCATATCTTCTTTACATGTAGAAGTTGTCAGTAAGCCAAATCAGAGTTACACCGAGGGAACTAAATCACCCTGAAGTTTCATTTAGAACCTCAGGAAAGGGGAGTAACAATCTTCAGTTAAAACTGTTAATTATGAAATAGGATTTGAGGAATATTAATAAAAAGGTGTCAAAATAATTTGATCAGTCAGAATGAAATCTTAACAGCAAAGTATTTCAAGGTTGGAGATGACATTCTGCCCTCAAAACTTGCTTTTACAGACAGCTTACAAAAAAGGCCTTGCAATATCAGGTGATCTGTCATAATGTGACCAGAAAGAATTAAAAAGAATTTCAGGATAACAGTTTTGATTGTGGGTCTTCTTGAGTTCACAGTTTTAGCTGAGCTCTTCAATAATATTTTGAGCATATACATTTATAAGAGCTTTTAAGTCTCCACAGTCAGTGAGATTTTTGTAGAGGAAAAATGCTTGATTGCATTTTAGGAGGAAGAGCTGATTTTTTTATTATTGTTATTTATAGCATAGCTAGTGCAGAGACCAGCTCTGGGCTATGTGAGAGCAGTGAAATGGTCATGTGGTTTTTAGGAAGCAAGACGTACCCACTTCATCTTCAGCTTAACAGAATTCCCTGAGACACTGTGTCTTTGGAAAGGCTAGAAATAGGAGTTGCCCAAGCTTTCTGGAAGTCTTGCAATCTGCAAATACAGGTGTGGGTCTCTGCACACTGCAGGGTATGGTAGAGACATCCAGACTTTAAATGGGACAGTCCAGCCCAGAGAGTTCAGTGGGATGAAGAAGACTCCTGCCTAGCTGGACTTCATGGCTGTGTGCAGTTCAGCTAGCTCAGATACCCTGAACCCACAGGATGGGATGTACACTTCCCCAGGTTAGTCCTTTAAACCTCTCTGTAGCTCAGATTTTAGGACTAATAATATTTATCTTCCTTTGCAGAGTGACTCAAGATTGTCAAGCAAGGGTGCCAAAGCTCATTAATCAGTTGCTCTCTAAGAAAGGCAAAGAAAACGTGGAAATTATTCTAGGAGGTGAAGTCACAACTACTACCTAGCAGTGAGAGTAGAACATATTGCTAACTGAATTAGAAAGAATTAAGATGTGAAACTAGATATGAGAAAATAGTGTTGCAGAATATCCAACAACACCCCCCAGATTTTTATGTGCAGCAGTGTGAAAAAAATTAAATCACCTAGCTCCCTTCCCAGAAAGAACTCTACTTACATAAAAATAAATTTAAAAATATTAGAGTTACTCTGGTCTATAGTTTCAGTAAAAATAACATGAAAGTACAATAATTTCAGGTTTTTGCTGATCTCTGAGTTGAACGTAGTCTAATCAATGTAAATATGGTTTCACAAAAACTAAACACATTGCAATTTCTGTGGTGAATAGTAATATCAGAAGATTGACCTTGACTAATATATTAAAACTTGAAAAACAGTGAAAATTCCAACAGAGTATCAACTGCAACTGTCAAAACTGTTACATTATGACATATATGCTATTTTCTTCCTAAAAGAGGAGCTAGAAGAGATTAAAGTATATATGATTGGTATAAAAAGTCAAATTACTGTTATTTTGACTTTAATATTTAACTATATTGTTAAGCTTGTACACTGTTCACGTTTTATGTGGGCTTCATCTTTCACAGTTTACTTTCTCTGGAATTACAAGCCAGGTTTTCTAAGGGTTTAATTCTGCAAATGTATTTTCTGAAATACTTTCATCAACCAGTTTAAAAGTATGCTCTTCTGTTGTCCTGTTTAAGTACATCTCCACCAAATGTTGTCCCATATGAAGCTTAATCATGATTTCCCAAGCTTATAAGCTTTCTTTCTTATAAGTGAAGTTTATGTCAAGGATGAATTCAGAAAATGCAGTAGAAGATTCTGAAGTGAAAGTTTATTTATTTACAAAGGCATCACAATGGCCAAACGCAAAACTCACCTCCTGTAAACTGTATGAATTCTGCGTCTTCTTTACGCTCAGCTCCAGCACATTCAAAATCCCTCTGTAGATGTTCAGACCATCATCTGAGACAGAATCAGGAGCCATAATGCTTCCAACGTGGCCATTGCTGTACTCAAACTTGATGGGGCTACTGAGCTGCCCAGTCAGGACCTGGGTCAGTTTCAGTGATCGGGAGAATGAGCTTGTGGGCCAGACACCATTGTACTCCGCGGCCTCGATCGAGTGTATCTAGAACAAAGGGGCAATAAAATGCCTCTTTAAGTCTTCTTTCCCCAGTTAATTTTTTTTCAATACACATAAGCATCTAGAGCTTTAACCACATCAAAGCTACACTTTTAAATAACACAAAGCCTCTTCAAAGGGAGAACTTAGAAGTTGTCATTTAGCATAATTAGTGTCGATGCACGTATTTCTGTATATAAAAGGAAAGAGAAGACTGCAAATGGCTGATATTTCCACAGCCACTGCACTGTTTTGTTTCATAGACAATCCATATTGCCAAAGGCTGACTTGTGCAATGAAATGAGCCAGACAAGAGCCACATGAAGCAGGTTGCTACCCAAAAGTAGCATGGAAGATCTGCAGGAAATTGCAGGAGAAAGTTAATGTTGCATAAAGCATCATTAACTCCTGTTGTGAACTCTGTCATTTCCCTTGCTGGGGTCACAGAGCGTAGGCAGCAATCTGAAACTAATAAACACATGGCCTCTGGGCCATCCAGACATGCAGAATTAGTTTGAGCAGTGGACAGCAGATTACAGAAATTGTCCTTCCCTACATGTTTTGCTGTGAAACCAAAGGCTGAGGCACTGGCTCCAACCCCACTCTGCGCTTCATGCTCCAGCCTCAACCTGGGGCACATCCAAACAAGTAGAAAGTTGTGCTAAACTATGCATAACTTGAATAATTCTTACCCTATGGGAATGGGCATGTTTAGCTTAGCTTCTCAGAGGACCCTTCCCTTCTATATATTTTGGCAACTTAAAGAGACTTTTCTCTGACACCTCAGGCTGGTGATGTGGTGCAAGACACAGATTAATGTCTCAAAAAGCCACACAAACTAAATCCTCATACAGAAAATCACTGGAGACTGCACTTTCATATTTATTTTTGTTATTGTTGGTGGAGATTACTGCCAACCCCAGGAACTGAAGCTTACAGGCAAGGCTGTTAGAGAGTAAATCCCTCATGCTGCCTCTTGGACATGCTTCTGGCATATTGCATACAGACAGGTTTGGGAGTGCTCTGCAGGGTCAGGGCGAGGTAGCTTTCCCCAGCCCTTGGGGCCCAGGCAGGACTTAGGCTGTCTGCTTGGTTTTGAACACAGCTGGCAATTCTTACTTGTAGGTTTGTGATGAAAAAATTGTCAGCTGGAAACTGCCCAGGGAACACAGCTTTTTATTTGGGTTGAATGTGAACTAGTAGGCTGCAGATGAAAGTTTAATTCCCTGAACCAACCCTCCAAACTCCAAATTTAAATATAACAGCAGCAAAATAAACTTTTCCCAGAGAAGAAGGGAATAAATGTACTATTACCTTTAGCTTAGAACTTGCCCAAAAAGTTATGCTTTTTTTCTTTTTCTCCTTTTCTTGCCTGAAATTAATTCTGAAATGGAAACTTTTCACAAATGCAGTAACACTGGTAAAATGATGTTAGAAAGTTTTAGAGAACAGGAGTCAATTTTTGGTGAAGACTCACCCTGGCACACCAAGAGCTGTTTAGGCAGGAATGAAGGATGATCTGGGATAAGGACAAGGCTGCTTCTGCCTCTTTTCTGGCAGGGAAGATTTCTACTCAACACTGCAGATGCGTGACCCTTATTTCCTTGACTATTTTTGTTTTGAAATCCATCCCCTTACAAATGTCATGGAAAAGCAATATTTCCTGTCTAGATCTATAATAATTTGAACCTAACAAAAATACTTAGCAACAGCAGGCTAATTCAGGCTGGAAGGCTACATTACAAGCATTAATCAGAGAGTCACCAGTCTTTTTAATCAGAAAAGTTTTCAATATGCTAAATTAAAGCTTTTAAAAATATAATTTTTCTTCTGCGTATCTAAAGACTAAATGGAGTTTGTGTAAAGCAGTTAAGGTGTGAACTTCTATATACTCATTATAAGTGGGTATAGGCTCCTGTTAAAGGCAAAAGTGTATTTCACACAATCAAACCCTTCAGTAATTACTCAGCAAGCAGTAAAAATATACAATTGAGGATGACAAAGAATGTCACTCAGGACCCCTCAGAAAAAAGAAAGATGACATTAATTATGCTAAATATTGAATCATTCAACTACTGTCACGTGTTTTATTGCTTTTTGTCTGCTGGTTATGAAATCAGTTGATTAAATAATCCTAGGTTGTACAGTTTGAAACAATTGGATTGATCCAGTAATAAATTATTGTGCATTCCAAATTACATTCCATTGTCTCCCTGACCACAAAGCAGAAGAAATCCTTCAAGCTCAAGGTTGGCTTGAGCTGAGAATTACCTTGCAAAGTGCAAATAGAATTTAGGGCACTGTATAAAAAATAACAGTGTTAGTTACATTATCCCTGAGTAAGCACAACACACGATGAAACTTAATTACTTTACAAAAGCTTAAAAAAAAAAAGCTAAGTATGATGAGAATTTTACCTTTCAAATTGAATACATTTTCTTACCCTAATAAGACAAAGTTTTGGCCCAATACCACTAATTTCCACTTTACTTTTTATTCTTATTCCAGCTCTTGCAAGTCCTTTCTCTGGAATTCCACTGAGAAGCGTGGTTTCATAATCAAATGTATAAACCTTGCTTTCACTGAAATCAGGTTCTGCAAAGAAATGGTTCCCATAAAACATTATACAGAATATACAGAACATATTAAAGTACCTGCATTAGAATGTATGGAACAAAAAAACCCCAATTTTTTTCATTTTTGCATTGTACCTGAATGAAATTAGCTGTTGTAAAGCTATACTAAACATTGATATACTTTTTAGATTCTGTTTTTAATTTCACTCATTATAATTATATTAGTTGATAGGAAAATTACTTACGGTAATTAAGATGCTGGCTCCCTGAAAGAGAAGAAAGAAATAGAGGAATGAAATGACAAAGAAAAAAAACAACCCCAAAATGTTAATGTATTGTAGTATAAAATCATCTGGCACATATAGCATAACCCTTTCTAATTAACTTTATTTCTGTTTCAGCACCAGCCAAACACCTTTTTTTCTTTAAACAACAAAAGAAGTAATAAAATAATTTTTTCTACAACATGTCTGTGAGTGAACTTATGTTTAGATTCTGAAGCCTTTTCCTGAATATACAATTTTAAATTCATCAAAGCAGATAAGTTAGATACTTACCCACCAGGGTTAAAACCAGGGCTAATATCAAGCCCTTCATGATGGGGATAAAGTAAAGGTGAATGTGATGGGTTCCTCTTTTATAAAGGCATGTGATATCACATGTTTCTTTTGGCACATTGGTTTGACAAATAAGTGTATTCTAGAATGCATATTGATCAATCAAAAAATAAACATTTCTGAGGTCACAAATGCTGGCAACTTCAAATCACCTCATGATTTCAGCTACCTTACTTTCTATATAGTTCACCATGTTTGTGAGCCCTGTGAAATTCAGCAGGACACCTTGGCAGGCACATGCTAGAAAAGAGATTTAATTTTCAAAATATCCTGCTTGCTATTCCCCCTCATTTCTCTACATTTTATTGATACAGTAAAAAATCCTAAAATTTAAATTATTCAACTATAGTTCCTCCATCATAACTGAAATAATTTGTCTTTCTTCCAGTCATGTCTTTAATCTTTTGCTATTTTACTCTTCATAGTGGTCACTGCTTTGGAGACAAACCCTTCAAGAGTTTCACATTGAGACTCTACTTTTAGAGGAGAATTAGTGGTTGATTATACAGATTTAGGCTTGAGACACCTTACAGCTCATAGGCATGCAATGAGAAACTGCCCTTCCATGGTATCTACCATGTCTGTCTTTGCAAGCCTATCTTGTTACCCACACCTGGAAAGATGTAACTTGTCAGTATGACCATCACATTAGACTATGGCTAAGAGTGAAAGTTTATACTATGAAAACAGGAGGGAAATTAAACTCTTTGTTTATAAGGAGAATCTAATAAGAAGTGAGTTACATTTCCAACAGGACCTCAGTGAGTTGGGAGCATTGGGAGCTTCTCAGTAGGTTCTCATGGGGCTTTTGCTGCTGTCACTCTTGGGGAAATATATCCAGCATTTCCCACTTGTAGCAATAACATTTAGATCAATCCTTAGCAAAACTGTGTCAGGAGGGAGTTTGCTCCCTGACTTCAGTTATACGTACTTTTTTGCAAGTATTTAACATTTACTTTGAATTTAAGCTTGTCTTTTGTTCAAATGATAAATTAAATATCATGTAAAAAACCACCTGCATACAAAGGTTACTGAGGGGGCAGGAAGGAGAGCTCAGGAATGCATACCTGGTATTTCCACGAGGCTGTGGAAGGTGTGACACAGCAAATACTGCACTAAGTCAGGCACTCAGACTTTATCCTCCAAGAGGGGATCAAGGATTTTTCTGCTGGTGCTGTTCATCAGGCAGGAGAAGGGTGAAACCTAAATCCAGGTCCTGAGGTCTTCTCCTTCAGGCCCCATCAAGCAGTCCTTTACATTGTTGCTTCATTTACTGGGAAAGATGCCACCTGACTGAGGAATAAATAGCAAAGTTCATCATTGTGGTGCCAGGACACCTGAGCTGGAGTCAGGGATGCAGTTGCATGGTCCTTCTACCCCATCATTGCTCCACCAGGAGTCAAATAAGGGCTCCCTCGCTTGGGGTCCTTCACTACCGAGACCTCCTGAAATCCTGAGGATTTTAATATCACAGCTTTGCTTCATGGAGGGAGCGACAGAATTGCATGAGTAGTCAGACCTTCCCTGAAATGAAACCTGTCCAGTGAAATATTTAAATATAGTAGATATATGAACCATTAAAAGAGATTAATAATTGCATCTTTGGTTCAGTGTGAGCTCAGGTGGTGAAAAATCGAGTGCACACAGATTTTCCTCGATGTGTTCTCCTAGGGTGCTAAGTCCTGTGAGCTATGACAAGATAGACCATGTTTGTGAGCCCTGTGAAATTCAGCAGCGCATCTTGGTGCTTGGAGATGTAGTCGGAAATTCCTTACAAACCGTTACATTTTTTGCAGCCAGAACGGAAGTAAATGCACAGCAGCAAAGTAATACTGTAGGTGATAACATGCAAAACTCCTGCTTCGATCACCCTGCTTTTATGACACTGCTCATCAGTGCCACAGCTTGACCTCTGCAGTAATATTGTGCTATCTTATTGAGCTCAACTAGCTCCATTCCACAGGGCAGAATGTAGAAGATAAAGTTTTTATTATATACAGAACTGTGTGAGAAAGAATATTTATTGAAACACTGTTATTAATAGCTCATTGAAATACTGTGTGAGGGACACATAAATATTAAAACAGAACTATAGCATTTTTTCAAGTTTAATAAAAGGTTTTATAATTAAGGTGTAACACAAATAAATGTCTTCTAAATGAGTAGTGAAAAGACTTCAATTCTTTTTTCTAATGAATCACACTGAATCTAAGCTTATAATCAGCATGTGGATACCTGATTGCTAAAATAACAACTGTAATAATTAAAGATGGTTCGAGCTGCCATTTTCTCTTCATTTGCAGCATGTACTCTCCCTTTTTAATAGCTCCACTCTACCCAGGCTTATTTTCTTGGGCGAGAAAAGAAAGTGATCTCAGAATTGTTGTACCCATTATTACTTTAAAGGAACTACCGAATAAATGCAGTAGGTAGAGAGGAGACACAGCTAGAGTTTGAGGGTCACAGCACTGAGCTCTAATCCTTCCTTCAAAGTAGACACATCATTCCAGCTGGTTCTGAGGGAATAAACAGGAGATCTATCACTTTAAGGGAATGGATAAAAGGAGGAAAGGTAAGAGCCACACTTTTTAAAGGCAATACAATTTTTCTTAAACATTCAACAGGTCATGTGAGTGAGCAAGAAAACACATGAAATATATAAAATCCACAATGAAACAGGCTCTCCACAAACAATTTCCAAGTACCTAATTTGGTTGCAGAGGAATGAAATTTAATATGGGCAGAGGCTTTATACATAGCCTGTATATTTTCCTTTTTTCCTTCTTTTAGGTGCAAAAAATGAAGAAAAGGAATTGTTAAAAAGCAGTGGGAAATATCTTGGGACTTTTTTCTTTTAAAGAAGAAAATATATGGTGTTGAGTGCTACAAAGAATGTGATGGCTGTATAAGGAGTGCAGTAAGAGGAGGTAGACTGCTTTGAATTTACAGGGCACTTGCACCATAAATGAAACATGAATACAGCCTAATTAACCTGATTAGAGCTATTGCTTCTACACAGCAATTGTCTTTGCATAACACATTCTGCTTGAGTAACAGAGTCCTATTATCTGCTGTTGTACTGCCACTGATAGCTCTGCACTCTCCTTGTTCTGTCAATTCACATTGCTGAATTATGGTGCAGTGATGCCATTTCCATCCTGCTAATGTATAGCCTAATGACAAAGCAGAGATTAGCCAAACAGCTCCCAAGCAACCATAGCAGGTTAAAATAGATATAACCAGTTGGCTAGGTGAAGAGATTTTTAGCTTTCAGTTTTCCTCATTTCAAAAGATTTTTAAAAAGAAGCTTCACACCTACTTAATATTTAACATTTGCTCCTTGAATTTTTTGTTCAAAACATTCAGCATTTGTAAGTCTGGCATAGCTTCCAAGATAATGTTTGATATTCTCTCCAGAGACATCGTCTAATGAATAAGAATGTGTTCTAGGTTGGGCTAAATTGCCATATGCTGGTTCTAGTACATTCACAAAAGGATTTTTTTCCATTAGATTGCTTTAAAAGGGGTTTTTGGTTTTTTTGACTGTTATCTCAGTTTGATGCTGGCACACCACCAACAGAGTGATAACTGCAAATTGGATAGAAAGGTTGAAAACTAAAACAGGTAGAAAATGTTATTTATGTGTTGTCTAACTTTTGATATATGCATGGTTTGAAAGATACTGTTGGGCTAGATTTATAGAATAGCTGTAGAATTTTATTTTGATAAATTTGCTTTTTGCTAATATATGCTGCTAAGATAAAGCCACATTTTGGTGCATTTTGTGAAGTAGTTGGTGGGACTTCTCCTAAGGCCAAGCGTGCACTGCCTGTCATTTCCAGATAAAAGAATGAAACTCTGCAAAAGAGGAGCGTGGAATCTAAAACAGATTGTTTTGATACAACTTAGTTTTACTAAGAAGCTCAAAGGTTTTTATTTGTATTCAAATATGGAAAACGCATTCTGAAGCCTGACAGTCCACCACCGTTGATGACAGCCATCATTGGCTCATCAGCCAGCATACTGATTCAGTGGCTTCAGGATTTCCCCCCCTTCCCTTCCAGGATATGCTATTTCCCAAGTTATTCAGTAGGGTTAAATGTTAGACAACTTGCATCTGAGGTTTGAGTCATGTCATATTTGAGGACTGGTGTTTGCTATGTAATTCCATTGCACTAGAAGATAACTAATAAGTTTATCTTAACCCTTAGACTTCATGGTCACAGAGTGATTAGGTCCTGAGGGGTTGGTGCTGACAGGAAATCAGGTAGCCCTGAAATTTAGCCGTGTCAGGAGTCCAGCTCAGTCCCTTTGGGGTGAAATGGTGATGGCCAGCCAGGACACAGAGAGCTCTGTGCCCTGCGCCCACAGGCTTGCTCAGCAGGCTGAGGTGCTGCAAGCCTGGCTGTGGCTTTACCAGCATTACCATGGCTGGTAACTTCTCTGAAGGGAAAATACTTGTGAAATGTTTATTTTGGTGAACTGTGACTGTACACAGTGTGGGCACTGCTGCAGGGAGGTGAGGAGAACCCAGAGCACCCCGTGTGCTCAGGATGGAAAGCAGGAAGAGGGAGAACACCCAGTTTAGCTGACTCAGAATCACAACCCTTTTTCAGGGTCCTGTGAACACACAAAACAGCTGCCACTTCAGAAAACAACCCATGACCCTCTGCCATACTGCATGAGGATGCCTTCCTATCCCTGGAGGAACAATGCCCAAGTAAGTGGTGGAGGAATTTTAAAAAGAAGGAAATTCTCGAGGCTTTCTTTTTTCTTTACAACAGCCCAAGCTTATTCCACTGCAAAACCCCATGTTCTCCTTACTTGCCTTACTGTTTTTCATTTTCAAAGTGTGGAGATGTAAAAATATACAATGATTTCTTAAAATTGTTACTTATATTGTGGTCCCACCCAAAATGTGGAAAATTTTTTTAAGAATGAAGGGGAAAACACTGATTTTTTTTCTTAAAAGTCAATGTT